GTTAATAATTAGTAATATTATTACTAAAATAATAATAATGCAAATATTAATTATTTACTGTTTTTTTGAATGATTTTTATTCTTAAAAAGTTCATCAATATTGAAGTCTGCCATAAAGAATTAAATTAAAAAAATCAAACTTTAAATAATAATAATGTATTAATAATTTATTATTAACTAAATTGTTTATTTAAAGCTTGATTTTTTTATTTAATCAAATTATAAAAAAAATGGCTAAATATAAAGATAATATACAATATCTTTGTTCTTATATGGGAGATATTTTTGATAAATTTAGCTATGATACAACATGTTCAAAATATATTAATCAAGAAGAATTTGATGAAGATGATATTAAAATTAAAAATTTTAAAAGAAAAATTGAAGATAAATAAAAAGAATATAAATAATATAATGTATTTATTATTAAAAATAAATTACATCTCGAAATAAAAGTAAAAGAAAAATTTAAAAAATAATAATGTAGTAGAAATATTTGTAATTGGTAGATGTAAAGATAAAAGTAAAATTTTACAATTGAGTTATAAAAATATGGAATTTTTTATTAAATATTTCTAAAAAAGAAAAATATAAAAAGAAAATGTATTGTTGTTGTATATGAAAATATACTATTTAGATTAATGATAAAATATGGTTTATATCATTGGATTGAAGCAAAATTTTAAAAACATAATGATATTATAAATGATAAAAAAGATAATATTGAAAAGCTTGAAAATATTAAATATTATGATATTGTTTTTAAAATAGTTGAAAATATGGAAAAAATTGATTTTTTTTTAATGCAGAGTTATTATCAGAATCAATTTCAGGAATTGATTCTATTTTTAGAAATTTAAAACAAAAAATTGAAAAATAATTTAAATATTAATTTTTTTATTTATTTATTTATATTTTTAATAATAATATTATATTTTATTTAGATAGTTATTAATAATTTAATAATAAAATTTTTAAAATGAAAAATAAATAATAAATTATAATACAAATATTTAATAAATTTATTATGTTTATATTATTGGTTCATTCATTGCTATATTTATTTGATTATTTATTGAATTATTATCATTTGATCTATATCTTGGTCTTATATTTCATTCATTATCATTCTCATCATCTGTTAATTCATGTGTATTACCAACTATATTTTCAGTAATATATGTTATACTTCTACTACTATCAGAATTATATATAGCTTGACCTAAAGGATTACTACTATGAGAATATATTTGCATTTCATTCATTATTATTCTAGGTATATCTTTTATTTGTAGTAATTGATAATTAATTGTTCTTCTATGTGTAATACTCATTCTTTTAGATTGGTTGATTCTCATAATTCTTTGTAAAATTTGGCATTGATTAGTATTTAATTGTCTAGATACTATATTTCTAATATCATTTCTAAAATTATTAAATGTTTCTTTAATATTATAATTATTTCTTGTTGTAGTTAATTGATTTTATATATTTTCAAAATTTGCTATATATTGTTGTAAACATTTATTATTTAAATTTATAGTTCTAATATCATTTTGAAGATTATTAAATAATTCTTCAAAATTGTTATTATTTCTTGTTA